GGAGGAGGAGCCCGAGCGTCGCGGGCTCCCGCACGCACGCGCGTGCCGCGGCGCCGCCTGCGCCCGCCCCCGGCGCCGCCACCCGGGGCGCAGAGCCGGGCTCTGCGGGCCCCCCGGGAGCAGATCGTCCCCCGGCCCCGCCACTGTCCCGCAGCCCTTCCTACCCCACGTCCTTCCCTTTTCTGCCCCTCTGTCTCCTCCCCTCTCCGCATCCTGCCCCACAGCCTTCCCCCTCCTGCCCATCTCGCTCCTCCCCCACCCGCTTCCTGCTCATGCTCCAGTTCATCCTGCTCGTCCTCGCCGTCCACCCTTCTCGTCATTATCCGTTTTCCCCCCCCCCTCCTCCCCTCCTCCCCCCTCCTTCCTCCTTCTCCTCCTCGTCTTACCTCGCGACCACGACGACGACGAAGACGACGACGAAGACGACGACGAGCACGACGACGACGAGCACGACGACGACGAGCACGACGACGACGACGACGACGACCACGACGACCGACGACCGATGACCGACGACTGACGACTGACAGCTTACGACTGACGGCTGACGACGGAAACGACAACGACAACGGCGACGACGACGGCGGCCGACGACGATGACGATGGCGGGTGCGGCCTGCTGCAGGTGCGTCTTCGTCGTCCGGCGCATCAACAAGCTTGGCTTCCGGTCCAAGGCGCCTCGTGGCCATTTGGGTGTTCGAGTGCGCTTCCTTTTGTTGTGAATGTTGCTTGTGGGCTCCAGGAGGTTTCTCATCGCCTCGGCTGCATTTTGGCCAGGGCGCACTCCTCGACGGTCAGGGAGTGTGTCGGAAGAGATGAGGGAGAGGAGGAGCAGGCAGACGATGGAGAGGAGGAGAAGGAGGAGGAGGAGGAACCGCTTTTAGATTAGATTATAGTGTTCCGACTGGGTGAGCAGGTGCAAGGCAGTAGCGTAGCATTGAGAGGAGATTGATGCACGCTTCTGATGAACGAGCAGATCTCGGGGAACCTCGCATCACTCTTCCATGGCTGCAGCGTAACCGCAACGTACTGGCTCAAGTACGTTTCTGCCTTTTCGGACAAAACGGCTCCTACCAGATGTTCAATGTAGCGGAGCCCGTGGTTATCCCCACGGGTTCCAGAGCAGAGATGGCCGCGGCGTCCGTTGCAGAGATGGCTGCGTCGCACGTTGCTCGAAGTACGTGAAGCTTGGTACAACCTTGGCACAAACCGGGTCGCAGAACTACGCCATGCAGGTTGCGAAAACGATGGTTTCAGGTGCGTCAAAACGGCGTTCGAAGCCAACCGCGAGGGCACGAAAGAGCGAACCCGAATGTCCCAACCAAGAGATTTACAAGCAATCATCACAACAACAAGGGCCCAGATCCAACAACTTCGAGGAGAGACAGGTCATCCGACTCCATCAAGGGGAAATCAGGACCCAGCTCATCACCAGCGAGGCGAGGGCGATGTACCACGCAGCCAAGGATGCCCACGCGCATGAGCACATAGATACTCAGCAGCAAAAGCCGGCATGTGCGGAGGCACGAGAAGACGCGCAAAAGCAGTTGAATGGACATAGAACCTACGAGGAGCACGCAGCCCGCTTGCGAGATGATCGCGAGGAAGAACAGCGACACGAGGCGCCTGCAGGAACTGGCAAAGCACCAAGCGCATCGCGATCAACAGGCGCTCGCGGCAACCAGGATGGAGAAACATCAAGCGAGAGGACACTGGCTAGGATGGAATGGGCCACCAGAGAGGAGGAGGATGTACGGAGGGAAGCCACCAGAGCCAACAAGAACCAAAACGAGTACCAGGAGGCAGCGCAGAGGGAGCAGGGGCCCAAGAAAGCACCAGAGGAATCCGAGATGCTCTACGACACGTGCACCGACCCGATCGAACGGCGCCCAGGATTCCACAAACCACCGATGGGACCGACCAGGACGGCGCGGCAATGCCGACACCGACGAAGACGCCAGAGGACCTCGCCGGCATCCTTGAGGACGCACCGAAGCCAAATCACCAGCCAGGTGACGCATCCCTACCAACGCCACCCCGTACCCCAGCCGTTTTGTGCGCCGATCGACGAGCGGAACAGGGGGCCATATACCAGTGGAACCACCGAACCTCAGAGAGCAGTCGAGGTCACCCACGAACGCCCGGCCACCCGACGCACCGACTGACTCGGGGCCCCATCGCCCCAGCACGAGAGGCCCGACAAGGCATGGCACATCATGATCTCAACGCCAGATCACGGACAGGACGACCAGGGGATGCCCATCGGAGACCTCGCCCCAGCGGGCTCGTTCTGGGGAGTGGGCACCCTCGATGCAGCCGGCGCCAGACGAGCCAGCGAAACCAGAGCAGCACGGGATTGCCCTGCGTGGGGGCACATGGGAGGCCTCAGGTCCCATCGCCCCAGCACGAGAGGCCCTACAAGGCATGGCACATCACAGAGCCCCCGACTGCGCAGCGGAAGCCCCAGTCACAGAGCCCCCGACTGCGCAACGGAAGGGACGCTGCAAGGGCAATGCCTAGGGCAAGCAGCACGACATCCTGCCACGCCAAGCCTCTGCTTCGCTCTCCCGGCAGAAGGCAACGTCAACCAGGTTCGCAAGGCTTACAGGGGCTGGAGCCCGGAGGACAAGTGCAAAGACAAGTGCATCGCGATGCAGAAGGGCGAGATCATCCGCATCATCTGGATCGAGCCGCCCCCAACCCGAGGGCATGGACACCTACGGGCTACCGGGCATGGGGCGAGCGGACAGAGGACCGCGTGGCGCACCCGGCGCACGAGCACGGCGGAGCCCTGACGCACCGCGCCCGCCACACCGAGGGAGACGACCCGAGCCGCATGGTCGAGCACGAAGCGTATGTCGCCAGCACCACCGATGCCATCGATAATCTCCGCCTCGCCATGGGCACGGAGGCCCTGCACGCGTACGGCAGGGTTGTTCACGACATCTTGCACCGCACCATGTGCCACGAGAGAACCACGCACCGTCGGACCAGCCAGAACGAGGCCCACGGCAGCCCAGCTGCGGCTACCGGGCCCAGCGACGGCAGCCACGACCACCATCTCTAATCCTACCAACCCGACTCAACCCGCCGACGTTGCCTCCACCTTCCCGCACCCATCCAGGGAACAGCTGCACCCGCAGCGACGATTTTAGCATAACTCGGCAACTACGAATCCCTGACCTACGCTGCCTGCAAGTCTGGTGGCACGGGCCACCCTCACCGTCAGCAGCAGCAGCATCAGCACAACCTTTTTTATCGTTCTCCTAAGGTGCAGCATCCCACGCGGGGCGCAGCTCTCACATGCCTCCTCCTGTTTCGCTCCGACGCACGACTCTCCACCTCTCAGCTAGCTACCACTCGCCTCGCAACCTCTCACTGCTCTGCCTGACCCAACCTACGCACTCACTGCCCATGGTATTACCCACGGCATCAGCAGCACCAGCACCACCCTCACGACCGGGCTGGGCAAGCCGTCCTCATCCACCACGGCGGCACCTCTAGCGGCTTTCGACTACAGCCGCCGAAGGCTCTCAGACTCTCCCCGCCTTGAAGGCGCTCCCCAATGACCTGCCGTGCACGGCTTGGCCACTTGGTGGGTCGGGGGCCCTGGGTGGCGGGCGCAGGCGTGAACATCATCGGCTGCCTTGGCATCGCTCGGACGTGTGCATATTTCTTTCGGCGAGGACCATCGAGGAGCATCCCTGATCATTTGGCAACAAAAGCCACGCACGAAACCGACAAAAACACAGGGAATGGACGTCCGAGCGATGGCCAGCTGCGCTCAGCTCTCTGTCCGTATCGCTTCCCGCACCGCTCCAGCACGCGCCTCCTCTGCCTCAGGCGCTGCGGTGCCCGGTCGCGGCCACCCCGCCCTCGCACCTCTGCCAACCTCGAGGGGCAGGCAGTGCACACCGCATGCCGGCAGAGCAGAGTGCACAGCGTACTATAGCAGCAAACATAGCGCCTATGCACTGGACCTCTTGTAGCGATCGTATTTCCGACACGAAGGGGAATTCATCGATGTATAATGTACATATATATACACATTTATATATATATATATATATATATATATATGTAAACACACACACACACACACACACACACACACACACACACACACACACACACACACACACACACACACACGCACGAGGCCCGGGCGCCCAGGGCCGCGACCTGGTGCGGGCATGGCATGGGGGGACCGGGGCCTCCGAGACCGCTCCCAGAGCACCCGCGAAGGGCCGTGGAACCCCCAGATTGCCCCAGAGAGTTCCAAGACGCTCCCAGAAGCCCCCGGGGGGACTTCGACAAGCCCCTCCAAGACAGCGTCCCAAATCCTTGATTTTCATGTGTTTTTCTATGTTTTTCGGTGTCCCGCGTTTGAGACCTTTCGACGCTCCACGACGGCCGACGACGCCCCCAGGACCGCCCCAAGACCGCCGAAGAGGCCCCCAACAGAGCCCCAAGACGCCCCAGGGAGCTCGAAACTTGCCCCATTCCCGACGCCGTATCCGACGCCGTACCCGACGCCGTATCCGACGCCATACCCGACGGCGTACCCGACGGCCTTCCCCACGGCCTACCCGACGCCGTACCCGACGCCATACCCGACGCCGTACCCGACGCCATACCCGACGCCGTACCCGACGCCGTACCCGACGCAGTATCCGACGTCATACCCGACGGCGTACCCGACGGCCTTCCCCACGGCCTACCCGACGCCGTACCCGACGCCGTACCCGACGCAGTATCCGACGTCATACCCGACGGCGTACCCGACGGCCTTCCCCACGCCCTACCCGACGCCTTTCCCGACGTCCTTCCCAACGCCCAGCCCGACGCCTAGCCCGACGTATCCTCCAGGATGGCCGACGCCACAGCCGACGTTTCCTCCTGGAGCTCCCATGGCGGGCGGAGCTGGCGGCGTGGCTGCCACTGGCGATCCCCACCTGGCAAATGTTCTGGGTCAGAGATTCGATTTGATGAAGCCAGGCAACCACGTTCTGATCAACATCCCTCGTGGAAGGCAGAATAATATTATGCTTCGTGTAGAGGCCGAGGCGAGTCAATTGGGTGGACAATGCGCTGACATGTATTTCCAAGACCTGAACGTGACGGGGTCGTGGGTGGAGGAGAAGCATGCCGGCGGTCTCCGATTTCAAGCTCAGGCTGTGCCCGACGAAAGTCCGAAGTGGTTAATGTTTGGGAAGGTGCAAATCAAAGTTGCGCATGGACACACGCAGCAAGGCATCACTTACTTGAACTTCTACGTCAAGCACCTTGGGCATGCTGGATTCGATGTCGGAGGATTGCTGGGAGAGGATGATCATCAGGAGGCAGCGACGCCCGCGGAGGAATGTGTCCACCGTGCATCGCTTCTTCAAGTATCTGGCCTGAATGAGCAAAGTGCGCACCTCGTCTCCGTCGCAGAAGCAAGCTTTGCATGAGGCGCCCTGCCCTCGTCTTGCTGTCGCCATTCCCTCCTCCACTGTTCCCTCCCCCGTTCCTCCTCCTCCTCCTCCTCCTCCTCCTCCTCCTCCTCCCCCTCCTCCCCTTAGGGCGGGTTGGTATGCTAGTGTTAATTTCCGCGCGAGGCCATCACATTAGCCAGCTCGCACGTTTTGTTTGATTCCACATGGACATTGAAAAACACATATATATATATATATACATATCTGTACATATATATATATATACACATACACGGCCCAAGAGGCCCTCAAGGGGTCCCAGGAGGCGTCCAAGACTGCCCAAGAAGAGAGGCCCAAGACGGCCCCAAGAGGGGCCCAAGAGAGGGGAACACGAACCCACAATTCGAGCGTTTCGCCCCAGGACGTCGCCCTGGAGGTTCCACGAGGCCCGCACGAGGCCCCTGAGAGGCCCGCACGAGGCCCCTAAGAGGCTCCACGAGGCCCCCAAGACGCCCACAGGACGCCCAAGAGGCCGCCAAACGGCCATCAAGAGGCTTTAAAACTACTTCTTAGAAGCTCTCGACTGGCTTTTTACGATATCCCCACGAACATCCACGAGGCTTCTAACCCACAACCCAAGTACGGTGGAGGGATGGGCCGTATGCCACTAGACAATAATGGTACTAATGATTTTCCCCCCTCTTGGGCCTCTGTGAAAAGGCCTCGTGGAGACTTCTTGGAACGTGTTTGAGGTCTACTGGGCCGTCTGGGAGCCACCCTGGGCGTCTTGGAGCGACCTTCAGGCGTCTCGAGACCCTCTTGGAGCGTCTTTGGTATCTCTTGGCGCTTCCTGGCTCCGTTTTCTACGCCTCCGGAGCCCCTCAAGCCTCCCGGCACCCAAATTTGTGGTCGACGACTTGCTGACCCGGGGGCCATCACCCAGCGTGCTCAAAAAGCGCTCCTCTTCCAGAGCACGTTCTCGCCCTTCTCTCGTACGTTTCGTCTCGGAGTCGCGTCTCGTTCCGTTTCCCCGCTTCTTGCCCAAAGTATTTCGGCAGCATCCCCAGCGCCTCCATTCTGACAGCACCGCTTCCCACCCTCCCCAGACCGCTCCAAGACGGCCCAAGAGGCCCCTCCGTCCAGCGTGCTCAAAAAGCGCTCTTCCAGAGCACGTTCTCGCCCTTCTCTCGTACGTTTCGTCTCGGAGTCGCGTCTCGTTCCGTTTCCCCGCTTCTTGCCCGAAGTATTTCGGCAGCATCCCCAGCGCCTCCATTCTGACAGCACCACTTGCCACCCTCCCCAGACCGCTCCAAGACGGCCCAAGAGGCCCCTCCGTAGCCATTTTGGCTCAAGCCGTGCGGATCAAGTCCCATTCGGTTCACAGTCTTACCGTACCCTACTTTGCGCTATCAGACAGCGTGTCAGCGTCGCCCCAATGGCAGTCAAGGGTTGGCTCCCCGTGGTTCTCGGGCTGCGCGGAGTTTCTGGTATGCAGCGGGCGACGAGCGTGCCAAACGGCAGTGCCGTGAGCGATGAGGAGGCGGCGGCGGGGTCGAGTCGCATCAGCAGCAACAGCAGCAACGGTGCCACTTGTGCTGTGACGATGTATCAGCATGGCTGTGGAGGTGGCTTCTCTGCCACATACGGGGTCGGTTCGCATGGTTGGGTTGGCAGCAGCCATAACGACCAGTATTCATCTCTGTACATCCATTCGGACGCCTGTCGCGTGGTGATCTACGAGCACTCCAATTTTTACGGCTGGGCTTGCTCCTACGAGGGCGTTGGCTGTCATGGAGTGTGTGGCAACGATCAAGTGAGCTCATTGAGAGTGTATGACACGTCGACGCCATCTCCGACGCCATACCCGACGCCGTACCCGACGCCATACCCGACGCCGTACCCGACGCCATACCCGACGCCGTACCCGACGCCATTCCCGACGCCGTACCCGACGCCGTACCCGACGCCGTATCCGACGCCATACCCGACGGCGTACCCGACGGCCTTCCCCACGGCCTACCCGACGCCGTACCCGACGCCATACCCGACGCCGTACCCGACGCCATACCCGACGCCGTACCCGACGCCGTACCCGACGCAGTATCCGACGTCATACCCGACGGCGTACCCGACGGCCTTCCCCACGGCCTACCCGACGCCGTACCCGACGCCGTACCCGACGCAGTATCCGACGCCATACCCGACGGCGTACCCGACGGCCTTCCCCACGCCCTACCCGACGCCTTTCCCGACGTCCTTCCCAACGCCCAGCCCGACGCCTAGCCCGACGTATCCTCCAGGATGGCCGACGCCACAGCCGACGTTTCCTCCTGGAGCTCCCATGGCGGGCGGAGCTGGCGGCGTGGCTGCCACTGGCGATCCCCACTTGGCAAATGTTCTGGGTCAGAGGTTCGATTTGATGAAGCCAGGCAACCACGTTCTGATCAACATCCCTC